GAAAAAAAAATTATTTTGATATAAATAGCAGATTAGTTTATATTGTAACTTTAAAGAAAAGTTTACGACAGTGGACATTAATCAAGTGAAATCGTTTTAATAATGGACAATGATGATCTAGGCTATTTATAAAAATAATCAACAATGTATGAACTGATATTTTTAAACCAACTGATATTAGTATTACTTACAAGAAAATAGAAATACAGCACAACAAACTAATAACTCTATAAATTTGAGTTACAAACTTTGAGCAACATTAGCCGTTAATACAGCCCCATACTTCTTTTGAATTTTACTTCGGTTGTTTGCTCTCTTACGATTAAGCAATCCGCATTACAGCATATTTTTAAACAATGAAAATACAAATAAAACAATTCACAAAAAAGAAGTAACTAAGTACTCAATACGCTGCAAAACATAGAAATGATAACAAAACTATATGTTACAACAATAATAAATAATTTCTCATGTAAAGGAACATGTGCTGATGAATTTAAAAATTTGGCTGAAATTTGAAAAAAAACTTTTCCGATTAAAAAACGGAACAAGATTGACATAAAGTATGAATATATAGAAAATAGTGTATTAAATAAATCTCTGACGACACTCATTAGTGCTTTAAAAATAGTTCTTAAGTTTGGACTCAAAATTTTTATCAGCGCAACATACTGCAAAAGCAACAGCAGATATATTTAAAAATTTATAGTTTTGTGCAGAGAAAATAAGAGAACGAGATAACAAGAACTACTAGGTAACAATTTCACTGAACTTGACTGATATGAAGAATTTAAGCATATGGGCAATAAAAAAACAACCTGCATATCTTTTCCAACACACCACCAAGTTATACCATATTCACTACAAACACTGACTTTTAACCCTACTTCGAATTGCAAATATTAAATGATAGCAAATTCATTATTTAATTATAAACACACTGGATAGGACGAAACCACATCTACATCAACTACCTTATTTGAACAGGAGGAAGTGAAAATACATGCATGGACAGTGAATGTAATTCTGTGGAACATAGAACGTTTTGTATTGGTGAATCAAAACCACCACGTGATAAAGTATGGAAACTGTCCGTAATCAAAGGAAGCATTTTCGCTAATGGCATTTCCTGACAGGTACTGTGCTGAATTACATACTGAAACAGATTGGCAGTTTAGTTGTTGGAAACTTTATATAATTACAGTGGTAAAATTCGCGTTATTTTGATTATGTAAAATGTAGAACATACTTTTCAAAAGTTACAGTTTGGTTACATACATTATTTCTGTTAAAAATTTGAGCCTCAGATAAAAATTTTCGCTTTAAGAAGAATATTACTTACATTTACAACAGCGTCAAAGAAAAAGTCGATCAGTGATGATGTGACTTCCTTACATTTTGTTGACTCTAGCATTTCCACAAGTCGTTTCAAAAGTACATCCAGCTCACTAACATTTGGCAAAGCGAAGCCATTCTGAATTAAAGGACGAATTAATGCAAGGAAATGAGTCAGCATTACCATCAATAAATTTATGAGAGAAGAAGACGAAGAACAAAATATAAAAGTTTACCTGATTTGCATACTTTGGTACAACGAGGTATGAAAAATGCCGACAATCTAATAAATCCATTCTTTTTTTAAGATTTCTCAAAATCACTTTCAATTTTTCTCCATCTATCGGTGATCTTAACTCCAACTCTTCAAGTTCCGATTTACAGATTTCCTCGACTTTCTTCATTAAATCGTTTAGGCCTAATTATTTATAGTATAAAAGAGAATAATGGTGGTTATAGGAAGTAATAATAATAAATTGGTGACTAAGAATCAGTGAAATCTATTACCTGTAATTCTTTTCAAAAATATCACAGTGTAATATAAAGTATTACACCATTTTGCGATTCGAATTTTATTAATAACAAAAATAGCAATTTAATTACTTTAAATAAATAAAGTATAAGTGAAATAAAGAATTAAAGGAGACTTTACCTGAAGTGATAAAAAACTGACAACATTTCAGAAAAATCTGTTGTACGGAAGAATTGATTGTAAATTTCTGCAATTTGTTTAGTTGCATATTTGATGAAAGGAACTTCAGATTTTCTGGTAAATACTGATTCCACCTGAAAAAGTATACACAACTAGAACAGATTGACAAGATAAAGTTGAGAATATCAATAAACCCAACAAATAATTGTCAAAATTTTGTAGGATCACCAATTTTAAAATTTTAATTTTCTAAAGAGTAAAAACATGATGAATTGTTCATGATATGTCTCACCAATAATCTTCTTTTTCAATAAATGGTAAACAAAGTTGAGAAGCTAAGATTGAAATTTGGCATTTCAAGGTGACGCTGATTAAGGAGAAAGCATAAGCTACAGCTACCATCCTTCCAACTGATTTCACCTATAAGTATTTTTATTTGTTATCAAACAACTTGACAGTTTAATGAAAAAAATTTATTTATTATGGCTTTTACATTTGCATATCTAAACGTTGTTAAAAGAAAGAATTCCATTAAACCTTGATATCTTGCCATAAAATAATTCGTTGTTCACTGCTAAGTTCTTCACTACTTTTTAACTGCTCAATCATTGCTTCAACGTCAAAATAAGCTGAAATTCGCTTTGCGATCGATGGTAATAAATCCAGGATTGACGCATCACATGTCCGATGCTGTGTATCGTAAATGTAGTGACGTCGAGCCTATAACAGATCAGAATATAAATAAAATGTTTTTTTTTCAATGCTTGATATAAACACTGAATGTGACAGATCTGCAAAGTTATTACGGATGAAAACAATGGAAATGATTTCAGCTAACTTGTAACTGCGTACGACTAATTTCTCGTTCACGATTCCAGCTTGAACTAATTAATTCAGAAGAATTTCGCCACGTCTGATGAAGAACGAATGCTCCCCCTGCTGCAACTGCACCAGCAACAATCTTCCCTCGGTGCTTTTTGAGAAAATCCCATATTCCAGGCATTCTGCTAGAAATATATATTTAATCACTAATTATCCTTATGATTGTTACAACTCTAGTGTCTGATGTACCCGAACTAGACTCGCATCTGTAACTATTGATAAAATGAAAAGACCTCGACCAGAAAACCTCGCATTTTCAACTCAATACTTGGCCTAACGTCTAAAAAAACCCCATAATGATCCCATCAATCAATAACAATTACTTATAACCATATTGTGTCCTAAATCAAAACTTGAACACCCCACCAACTATCATACTTACGCTTCATTACTTCACACAAGCACACAAAAAATCAAGTTGGCAATTAAGTGCTAACTTCATAAAATTAGACCATGTTGTTTAGGTTTACTAGGATATAAACTAGTTCCATCTGACTAGTTATAGCAAACCTTCACTGGAATGTATGACCTTTCCTAATCAACACAACTCATACGACAAAGAAAACGAAATCAGAAAATATGTGAATGGCACATGGAAGCAACAAACACTTTACTTACATGAGTGCAGAGACAAGCGAGATTAAAGCAAAGTAGGGTTCACTAGAGTAACCAGAACAGTTATAGAAGCTATCTCACGATTCCTCAACCATTAGCACATCCTTTCGTACGCAACCACTATTCCAATCCTACTTATATCTTACTCTTAAATCACCTTCCCAGATTAGAAGAAACAGCCAATCATTTCTTCTTAAAAACCACTATCCAAAAACAAAACAAATAATATTTATTAAAAAACAAACCAACAATTGGATAAATCCATAAGTAACAAATGTATAGGGATTAACATCAAATGAAATGGAGTACTTTTTGTAGAAATAAGCAAGTATATAATATTTACTGTGAGTTAATTCAACGTTATAGTACATATATAACGAAAATTATTTATATATCCATTCAATCATAAGCAATGTAATGCATTGAAGACTTCTTTATGAATCGTCTAAAACAACTGCATACATACATACATAGAGACAAGGAATATCAAATTAAGATTAGGATACACAAACGATTAAATTACAGGCCGTTCAACTTCTTGACTAGTTTTTCACATTATAATTAAATAATTGACCTTCCGAATTGAGTTTGGTCATATCCAATATTTTCCGAGATCAGAGTTTGACTAGGCACTTTTATATATATATAAAAGTATCACCAAACAAAATAGATATTAAATGACTTTATAAGGTATATCTTATAAAGTCATTTAATACCTATTCTCTGAAGGTCCTTGGTAAGTTTTTAGGCTTCTAATCATCCTAAATGCTACTTTATTCTCCAATAGTTCCTTCAAATAAATGAAAAAGAACCATAACAACGGCAAAAAACTAACAGATATCTAACTTGTAGCCAGCAAAGAAAGCTAAGAAATGAATCAACTTTGTGCTCTTGACTTCTACAACTTTCTCACTGAATAGAAAGAATAAAACGGAAGAATTTCACATACAATTTCCTATTGAATGTTTTTATGTGTACGAGCCCAAAAAAGCAGAATTATTGAACCCGCAGTATTTCATGCACTGTTTCCAGTTAAGGCTTACAATATACTAATCGGCAGCTGTAATGATATGCTTTGCTTTTACTGAGCTAGAAATCTTGTTTTGAACTTCCTGATGGTCTTCATAACGAAGAATATCAAATATTGGTCGCTGAATTTTCGAGTCTATATCTGGACTCATCAACTTCTGTTTTAATATCTCCCTGTAAAAGCAACTGAACAAGTCAAATTAGTAAAGATTTGTGCATTTGATGACAATGACTAGTTACAACGACCTATGTCAATAAGTTATCAGGAAAGTAACCTCGATATACTTATCTGATACAAAAGCATACCAGTCATAAAAGCATAAATATTGACCAACTTCATATTACGAAAAAATTTTCGACATCAATTAAAAAACAATATAAAACCTTGTACAGTAAGTTTTTGTAATGCATGGTATTTAAAATAAAAATGCAAGTCATATCAAATTATGATTGCGAAAAACTAACCCTATTTTGCAATTAGATTCATCGTTATTGCAATCTGTCGTCCATATACTAATCTGAAAAGTGAAAACCATAAAAAATAATATTGGCTCAATAAATGAATATTCCAAAGAATAATGAAAATGAAAGACAGTACTTTAGATCCTTTATTTCGTATGTTCACAACTATACCACATATATCGTCTGTGTATTTACCAAACTGCTGACCTATAACAGCTAACAGAACTTCTAACCATATTAAGTCCAGTAGGTCGTGATGCCTAGACCTATCAATCTGCAAAATTTATTGATCGCATTTAATATTGAAATCATCATTTTTGGGGAACTGTAGTTTTAAATACTCATAGACCACTTCTTGATGAAAATTCTACAATTTACCCATGCAAAACCGCAATTTCTTTTATTACCGCATAAAATAACAACTGCTTTGACAATATGAATTCATACTGTTATCAGCCAACGACCACCCTTTGAATTTTCTGGTACTTCCCACATCGGTTGAATGCCTTTTTTAAAAACGCTATAATCGCAAGCAGAAGGTAATAATGATGGTGGACGAATACTAACATAAAGTCTGAAATTACATTAGGTAGAGAACTTTAATACTGTCAGCAAAAAAGAAATATCTATAATAACACTCTTTAATAACTTCCGGCGTATCGAACTTTTAAAAAAAGTGATCACTGCCATATCTAATCACGAACTCCCAAAAACTTCCTTAGAATATTTCATCAAATAAAAGTGGTAATCATTATGATATAAATTGAAACAAAACAAAAAACAAAAAAAACCAAATACATTTAAAAAAGAAATAAATATAATACTTACGCCCAAAATTCTTCTACAGTAGCAAAATTTGACACAACTTTGAGTCGCTTCTCCCAACTTTTATCACGCTGATCATTTAAATACCAATAAGTCCACACATGTTTTAGCGGATGAACCGGAACTAATGCATCACTCTTCTGAATAGAAATTACACTTGATAACAATCACACATGAATATATCACTGAACTGAACATCAATCCAATAAAGCATTTTATTAAAAATACCAATTCCGTTGAGCAACATCGGCTATTTTCATTTTCTACTTCATTATGCGAATTACCGTTGCAATTTAGTGCCGACATTCTATCAGGCCCCACTCTCGAATTATCGATAGCCATATCGATAATTTGGATTTGTACTGTAGTAAAATTGTGTACACAGTAACAAGTTTACGATCAAATAGATTTCTGATGTTAGATTTTCTCTGAAAGCTTAGCTTATCATGTAATTACAAAGCAAGTTTCTAAACTGATGATGTATATCAAGTTTTTTCTAGAGATTTGCATCTTCAAATTTATTGCTAAGAACTGTCAGAATCATCCAAAAATCTGAATAATAGTAACCAGAATAAATACCTACGAGTTTAAGAACCCCTTAACGTTGAAAATGAATAAAAATAAGGAACATGAAGAAACTGGATTTCTACAGACACACGACTGTACCTCACGAGGATAATATTACAATAGCCTCAATAGAATTCACATAAACCAGCTGCATCAAACCGTGCAATGCCTTACGGCCAAATGAAATCGCGCTATTATGAAAGCAATATTTATCGTTATGTTTTGCAGCAAAAGATCTAATGGACTCAACTGCAAATATTTTATTACTTTTAAAATGTTACATTTAATTTTATAAAAAATAAATTATAAAATATTAAAAATATATCTCAAAACTAAAATTGAAAGTACTGTTAATAGTCAAAACAATAAAGCACTAAAAGGATAAAGCATTGATTGATTTAAATCGATTTATTCCTGCGTAACATTGAATAATTTTTATAGATGGTTTAGACGAATTTACGTCATACATCCGTCTTCAGAGGCAAGACAAGAACTCACTTTTAGACAATTACTCACTCATTAACGCTACATCGAAGTACAATGTTGTTCTCTGCAAAACCTTCAGGATTTTTAGCAGTAGCACGGCTTGAAACTCTTATTTTCATATTACGTCAAATTCTGTGATTATTCATGGAAAAAGAATTGGGATGTTTGACGGCTGGAAAGGACCACAATGAAGAGTGGAAAGGATCACTAGTAATCGATATGAATATTTAGCCTGAAAGTGACCTAATTAATTAATCATTCCTATTTAGGCTTAAGCTTGTAATTATATTTTAACTTTTACTTGCTTTTTGTATTATAGATATATATTGATAATTAATTTCTCATAATTATATTTTAAAATTTATTGATTTACTATTAGTGGTTTGGTCACTAGAAATATTGTTTTTTTCTAAGTAATCATTTTTTCCGTATTGCAATCAATGTAGTATTTTTGTATTGATTGGTCTGGAAGGATACATCATCTCATTTTTGTATACTTAATCATTTAAAACGTATGTCTGAGTTTTATTATTAAAATCTGTAATTAACGTAAAAAACGGCTTACAAAACTTTCTTACTTAACTTACAACATAAGTATTGTTATCAACTTATCTCACTTTGTCTATTTTTATAAATATTTTTCCAAGTATTGTGATAAGATTTTGTATTGTCCAATAAATAATAATTCAGCAAAGTTATAATTAGTTATAAGATTATTAAATAACTTTTAAGAATGTTAATATGAATATTTTATTTGCAAACCGGTGATAAAAATTACATATATTACATATATTGAACTTTGTCATAAAACTAGACATTTGCCAATATTTGGATCAGTAATTAATTATTAGCTATTAATTACTAGCAATTATTTCGATATAAAGTTTCTATTTACTGAGTACATTTACTGAGAAATTTTTAATCACTGTTAATATATTTAAAATTTATATTTTCTTTTATAATGTGAAATGTAATTATGTTTATGATATGTTGAAGAAATATTTAGAAATATATTGATTTTTATACCGAAATAATTGCTAGTAATTAATAGCTAGATTGATTAGACCGAATTAAAAATAATAATAATTTGACTTCTCAGTTATTCAAACGTATATTTTATTAGTTGTGCTTAAATTGTTTTACCCTTGAGCATCTTTATTTCAGTAATTACATATATCCAACTTTGTCATGAAACTAGACATCTACCAATATTTGGATCAGTAATTATTACTTTTAATTTGCTCTAATCACTTCAAATTTAATTTTTAATACAATAATTTTTCTATAAATTTTTTGCTCATTGACTGTACAGAAGATGAAGTGTTGTGATTGATATTAGTATTCCGGTTCAGAGGTTGAGTTATAAGTGTAATCGTTTAATGGCAAAAAATAAATGTAGGTAAAAATAAGCATTGCTTGGATTAACTCTAGACTGTTTAGAGTTATAATTTAACTTCTCAGTTGTTGAAATGCATTTATTACCAAATGATTATTCATTAATTCAGATATGTTTATGAGTAGCGATTCAGTTACGTGTTAATTTTAACAGTGTCAAGGATTCAGTAATATCTAGTTAAATTTTCAATCATAATCTTCTTCAATATATTGTTTTTAGATGATTCAGAAAAGGTGAGAAATATTAGTGGAGTGTTGTGGTGTCAGCAAAATGAATACGACATCACAATCTGGTAGCTCTCCGATGAAGGATAAGTGAATAATTTTATCAGTTACCGTAAATTTACTGTGCTTTTAATCGCTTTAAATGCGTTTATTACTGTGGTTATTGTTATTGTTGTTAGCTATAAAAATCATTTATCTCCAAGCCAGGATTAAAAATATAATAAATAACTGCATGTTTTGTGAAAATTATCATAGTATTGTTGGATGGTTAATTGTTTGCCTGTTATTTTTCCTTTTTGACTTTTCATACCGTTATTAACATTTTTTCATATCTAGTACATGATTCAAAAAAAGTGAGGACATACAACATTACAATTTGGTACTTCTTCGATGAAGGATAAGTAAATAGTTTTATTTGTTACTGTAATCATTGTTGTGCTTTTAATCGTTTCAAATGCATTTATTACTGTTGTTATTGTTATTGTTGTAAGCTATATAAGTCTTTTCTAAGTGTGCCAAAATTAATAAAGATAATAAACAACTGCATGTTGTATTAATAATAATAAGATGTTTGTATTATTAACAAAACACATAGCTTTGCTGTACTAATATGAAAACATGTACTACTAATACACGAATCTGAAAGCGCTCTGAAATTGTTTTACAGTAATGATTGTCATGCATGCTGAAATGTCTGCTTTTTTTACAGTCATTTGGTTCTGATCGTAAATATACAGAGTAATATTATCTTCACTTGCGTATGCTTTCCAGTTTCAATATATAAATTAAATTATGATAATTATTATTGTGAAGGCAAGTAATACATGGTAAATTGTAATTTAATAATTTCTTTGTTGAAGGAAGTATTGGGTAGGAGTAAATATAATGAATGATAAACTTGTATAGGAAGTAGTTTTTGCTGTTCAGAAAGCGAGTAATTACGTCTTTAGAAGTACCATATTTGATGCATTAATGGAAACTATAGTAATTCGATACTGTACGCGACGTAATCTGAGAATGATAGGCTGAAGAATAATAGTTTCATAAGTGATGAGTAGTTATGCTTTGCCTCAGGAGCTTTTACATCAGGATTATTCAGGAACTATTGGTTGGCTTAATCAATGACAGGAATGAATAACTGGATTTACATAAAAGATTGGCTTAGAAAGTTATGAATGTGTAAAAACACTTATTTAATTGTGGTCCGTTTTCAATTTCTAGTGCTATAAGTCATCAAATTTTGTTGTGTTTCCATTTTTTTTTTTGACATTGCGTTAATGAAAATTTTTTAATTTAGTAAAAGTGAGCCAGATTGGTCATTGGAGGATGTGGATTGCGTGCTGCATTGGATTGCTGCTGGGACTATATCCGAGCGCAAAGGAACTGAACTTCTCAATGTTATTTTTGGGAAACCCTTGTCTCGTTATACAGTTCGTTCAAAAGTGAAGGCATTAAAAGAGAAGGTAAGGATTGAAATTATTTCACAGATTCCGCTTCATATTTCAAGACTTTGTTTTAGTTTTTGATATATTTAGACAGGAATTGTCAATGCATTAGCATAAAGAGAAACTTTGTAGTTGACTTTTGAGTTTATAAAACTATTATTTTTATGAAATGATTATGAGTGTCAAGAATATATTAATGTTGAGTAAGTTGTTATTAATTTAGGAGCGTATATCTACAACAGCAAATGTGGATCCAAAAGAAAATGATGATAACGATAATGAATTGCAGTATCGTATTGTAGAAGTTGAAAGTGTAAATGACTTTTTTTCAATTTATTTTATTCAAAAAATGTTTTATCTAAAATCTTATTGTTTAACACATTTTAATTTTTAAACTGAACTATTTTAAATGAATTGTTGTAATAGTAATGACTGAAATAACTTTATGAGTTTTTTAATCATGATAAAAAATTTACTTGATGTATTTGTTTTTTGTTTTGTAGATTACTTAATACTTAACATTTGTTAACTTCAATATATGAAGTCTTGTAGAATTTCTAAATGTTGACGTGTTCATTTTAAATATATAAACTGCACTGGATGATTGTGAGTTAGAGTAGTCTATTAATAACTTTTATTTTAAGATGTTTGAAACGATTAATAAAATCACCAGTTTATAGGAAAATGGTGACGTGAAGACATACACAGAACTCATGAATTGTTCAGCCAGTTGTAGTGATTTAGGATATCAGGATGGAGGTACGCTTTGGAATACGGATGTTTATGACTTGAGCTGCAAGACAGAAATCGATGTATCCTTTTAATTTTGCGAATTCAACCTTGTTTTTTTATCAACTTTCAGTTCAACTGTTAAAAAAAGAAAACGATAAATGTCCAAAAGCTAAAATTAAATCTAGATGACAAATTTTCTATACTTTTAAAATATTGCCATTTAAATTCAAGATTTTGATCATTCTGTAGAAAATATTAAAAAATTGTTAAGCCTAAAAAGTGCTTATGCATTCAGTTGATGCAAAATCTGAGTATAACGTTGCTTTTAATTAATATATTTTACATGGTTCCATTTGGAATGAATTTAGATTGACAAAGTAGAAATTATTCGATTATTAAATCGTCGAGGAAATTTGGGACTTATCGCAATCGCGGAAAATGATGGCTATCGTGTATACAGACAAAGTACGAAACAGGCAACCAGAGCATATTATCGTTGTTCACGTTGTGACTGGCTGAAGAAGAAGAATGGTGCAGGACGAACTGCTTATATCACTATGGTTAATGATTCTATTGTTGGTACTGCATATCCATTACATAACGAGCTGTGTCAGTTGTATACACCATCTGCTCTTCGTAGAAGACAGTCTGATCGAGAAGCGAAAAAAGAATTTTCACAAAATTCAGTCGATAAACAACCAAAAGTATTTTTTCTTATTCATTATTTATTAGCCTCGGGCGTTTTTGGGTAATTTTATTGAAAACTTTAAAAAGTTGATGATATAAAGTTGGCTTGTTAAAAATTTAGTTATAGAAATAGTTACAAGCATGTTGTTTTTGTTTATTATTGTAAAATTGAGTAATGCATTAGTTTGATTAATAAATATTGCTATAAACTAGAGTTTGATGTGAACATAGAAATGCAAGCATTAAGGTTGATGAAGAATCTCATGAAAAAGACAATTATAAAACATCTCGTGGTAATTTAAAGCGTTCACACTACTGGCATGATGCTAATCTTCACGAAAAGACATTCCCAGAATACATTTTTGCTTATTTCGGGGGTGCAGCTAGTTTTGAACAAAGGTTTGTGATGCTCATACATTTATTTTAATTTTTGTTTGTGTACTTTTTACTTTTCATTTTGTTAGTTAGTTACTCTTTTACTACATAAATATTGTGACGTTGTTAGACGTAGAGAAATAAGCATTATTTTAATGCAATAATAATAATTATTATTAAGCAAAGTTTTAGTTGTTTTTTGCAGATTTTAACCATTGTTTCAAGTACTTAATATTGTGAAGCAGCAACAGCGTTATTACAAATGGAATAAATCTACATTAAGTCGGAATTTCGCGTGTGTGCATTTATGATAAACAATTTCTTTGCTGAAAGAGATAAATTGATGTAGCTGTACTCCCTTCGAAGGAAGAAGTTTGTTCGATTTTGCATCAGAAATTGAAGTCAGGAAAAACCATATTTGATATTTTTTATTATAAATATTTACTAGAATTGATTGCTTACGATTTTTGCTTACTGCTTTCACTTTTCATGTTTCAAAAACTGCATTTCTTGCTGCAAGCTTTATGTTCTGTAATCGTTTCTTACGAAAATCGTTTTTATGCACCTTTGCGACTACTGCTTTTATCATCCTCCGTAAAAATTGGGTTTTTGTTTTTATATGGTCTCTGTTAGATTTACGGATGATGTTATGTGTCCGGTACATTTCTTGTTACTACTATTACGTGGTCTTATCACTTTTAGTTATTAGGCTACTTGTCTTTTCTTTAGAAAAAGATTTGCATTACTGTCTAATAATACCTTTAGACAGTAATGCAAATCTTTTACTAAGTCATAAATTTGCTGCATAATTTTATTTACTGAAAATTCTATGTATTTATTTTTTGTTTCATTGTCAGTGCTCTAAATTATGTTAGAGCTGAGTTTGCGTTCCAGCTCAAAGTTTGCTTGAATATACGTAGTTGTTTCAATACACGCATTATTTAAATTTAATTTCTTTAGAGTGGCATTTCATACGCATGTTGATTTCACACTATCACGCGCATTGTGTGACATCTATTTGATGTTCTGGTAAAGATGCTTCTATTTGAGAAATTGTTGGTTGTTCTACCATTTCAGCACTTGTTGTTACTATTGCCTGAGTATATTTTTCATTTCTTACCTTCTCTTGGGATCTTTTCATATTAGATAAGTAATCGTAAGTCCTTGCTTTACTCCATTCAAATGGAGCTTTTCTATCAATGTTACGTCGATGAATAGCCATCAAAAATAAGTTTTCAATTTGATCATAATCAGGTCGATGATGATAGCGAAGCACTGCTAGATATTCCAGAATAATACCAAACTGCTTTGGACAACCCTCAACTTTTGCGCTGCTTAATTTTATTACCATAACATTTGTGAGCAATGGATTTACTCATTATTTCGATTATATAATGCACTGTCAAGAACAAATTGTTATCTGGTAGAAAGTATTTATTAGTGCTAACTTTAAATGCATTTTTTGTTTTTTGAATTTTGGAAAAGAATTTAAAGCTTTAATGATATGTACTTGGAGTAATCTTCTATTACTGATTGTTTGCTTGATAACGGCCGTTTCTTTTCGATCTAAACCTTTCCATGGTAAACGACCAGCAATAAACTCAATCAACATGTACATCATTGACCTTAATAAGGGGTTGCTTCAGTGCTACTTCATAATCAATCAGTGATGATGATAACATAGAAAGAGGAGCAGTTTGTGAATTTTGGACATTCTTGGAATAATTTGGCGAAGAGTTTTGTTTTCATTTTTGTATTACCAATTATTCATTTAAAAAAATCTGTAGTTAATTACTGAGTAAAGGAGTCGGTTAGTAATTAATCTTAGATCTCTTGTAGTTCACATAGAAACATTCATTCAATTGTGTATTTGGGATATGACCCTAGCAAAAGTATATACTACATTAGGGAAATAATTCTAGATCTACTAGATTAACTTTCATTTCGATAGAAAACTGTGAATAAGTTTGCTCATAGGTACCATAAGTCATCGTGACGGCCCTGTTCCAAATGTTTGTGCACGTTCACACTGCAATATGCTACAGTTCCGCGAAATGATGAGCGTGAACGTGGTTTACGTAATCTCAGTGCTTTTGTAGCAGGGTCATACGTTGCAAACTGTCGTGATAAACCAAAGTCCAGCACGTACAGTATGTTGACATTATTTAATCCACTCGCGAAATTCGCAGGTTTTACATCGCGATGGATGAAGTAAATACTGTGCAAGTTGCGTAAAGCCTGCAATAATAATTTGTCAAGCAGAAGAATACAGTATAAGTAGTTTGCTGTGAGTACGACGGGATACGTATTTTAGTCTTGTTAGTAGGATTTAACGTCTTATTACTATCGAAATATTGTTTTAAGTCATGAAGACATCATTTTGCAATTTTCTAATTCGGAATATTCGAAAATTAAAGACCAGAGATGAGAAAAGGTTGCAGTTGCAAATAAGATGGAAACAGACTGATTACATTGAGAGCCTGAAGAGCAATTTTTAGTACAGTAGCCATTGTAAATTGACGATGAGGTGCAGCCTTGTGAAGTTCACTAAGAGACTTTCCTAGCAATTCCATCAGTAAAAAATTGAAAACTGAGGTACGACCTGAAGTTACTTCTCATGCTGAATAAAATTTAAATCTGCTTACATTTGTAAATCAAAAGCTAATTTTCCTAAGAAAGTAAGGAATAATAAATTATTGGCTGATATAAATTTATTTCTACTAGAGGTCATACAAAAAAAAGTTAAGGGACCTGCAGCTACAAAAATCGGAACATGTTTAGAATACTGCATACGCTTCAGAATGCTTGCTTCTACTCGAAGTAGTTGATCATTGTGGTCCAAATCACGAGATTCCACTTTCATAGCCAAACGTTTCCTCTCTACTGCTTGCTATATCAAAATGGTTCAAGTTTCTATCTGCTATAGACGTGTTTATATGTTCAAGTTTTGTATTATTCAAGTTTTTTCCTTACTGTTGCATACAATATTTTTAATACAGTATTGTGATTTTTTGAAATACTTTTTGTTTAAGAGTAAAATATAATATACGTAAACACGTTTCGACGCATAAGTCAAAAACGCGTCTGATTTTCTTTTAAATACGTGTAAAAATTTAGGCTTTGCAAGTAGTTCCGTTATCAAACAGCCTTTTTTAATCCTTTTTCTCAATAATATACGTAAGCAAGCTTATATTATTGTATACTATACTACTTTGGAGTATCATCTTATTTAGCGTAAATATAATTTAACTGTACTGTATGCACATTATGCTTAATTAGCTATTAGTAAAATTCATTTTGTCATTAAAGATGCTCTAATGGTTACTTATGAAAAGTTAATCACACACATAATTAATAAAAGAAATAGTGTTGAAATAAATTTATAAAAGTAATTATTACTTTTGAGCATACTTCAAATACAGCACCACAACCGCCTTTGCCTAATTTTCTGACCACAGTCCATTCACCAACTGTATCAGATGCTTTCAAACCTAAAAGTTTGCTATCACTTTTTGCTGACATCCCTCGTCTTTCACGTATTTTCGCATAAAAATCAGTATACAACCGTTTTACACATTTGTCATCCTATGAAAGTCTTGATAAACTTTACTGATTTAGAAATTTATCTTTACACTTTTATGATGCAAATTTTATCAATTTTGAAGTATAGAAAATTTTACTTTAATCACAAAAGTAAGTTAATTTTGTAAGTAATTTATGCTTATTTTTTGTTCCTTAAACTTTATTATGTGAATTTTCTAACAATTATGAAAATATGAATAAACCTTTATTTTAAATGCAAATTGATTAAAATTGCTTTTAACAAAAATAAATGATTGAACTTAAATTGGAAATGAATGAATCGCAGAATACGATGATTAATTTAGAAAATTGTTTATTATTTTAAGCTGCTTGCAAATTTTTGAATCTATTTCAGATTTTGCTATTTATTCAAAATTATAGGCTCATAGCATTAAGCAACGAGACGCATTATTCCCAAGAATATACAAGTTTCCAGAATCACTTTTCATCAACGTGATGCATCTGCATATCTGATAAATCCTTGGTTCCAACCAATCAGGTTCATGCATTCTGGCATCCATCACTTCAAGGATGTTTGTTTGTTCTTTATCAGACACTTTATTATCATGAGATTCTGAAGATCTTTTTTTTCGCAAAGAGAGAGAAGAGTTGGCAATAGCGAAAGAATCAGTGTTATTTAATTTATTTTGTGAACTTCTAGCCTTCCTAGTAAATGTAGTTTTGATCTTTTCCAAAATTAAATCGATAAAAAGACAAATAGATAGAAAGATGGGCAAATAGATAATTAGGTATGTGTGCGCTTGTGTTGATTTAATTGACTAGAAAGACTTAAATTATTTAAGTCTTTCTAATCAATTAAATTTACTACACATGTGCGGCTTCTCACCGGTAAGTATGCGCGTGTACGTCCAAGTCCCCAGAACTTCCCAACTTTCTCACATACATCGCATATGTATGGTTTCTCGTCAATATGTGTGCTGTTTTATTCCTGGATGCATTTTACTATAATCGATCAATAATAGCTCTTGAAAGTAATATCTCAACAAAAGTTTGGCAAAATCGGAAAAGGCATATATCGCTTTGTTCTTATTTGAGCATTGCGCTGAAAACGATTGGTAGGAAAGACTGTATTCCATGGAAATTGAGTATGCGA